CTGACGACAGGTCCATATGAACAGTATCCTTCCATCCTTTTCTCGGACTGGGATCTGTTCATATACGTTCTTGGCAGATGATCCAGCAGTGGTTTGCCATTGCCTTCTTCTGTGTGTGAATGGGGTAATTGTTGGGATGCCACGGAGGAAAACTCCGTGTTGCCTAGACCACGGCCTTGCCCAACACAAGTTATAAATTCGGGCACCGCCGGGAATCGAATCCTAGACCCCAGGATTACAAGGCCAGCGTTCTAACCGCTAGACCACCGTGGCGGTATATCATAAGTATACACTTTTAAAATGTTTATGCCATAGAGTGTTGTCGCTAAGAACTTCATGGGCTCTGGCAACGCATAACACCCACATCGTCTTAAACAATATCATACTGAGTCCACCTGTGATTTACTTTCTGTTAGACTTTTATTCCTAATTCTAAACTGTACTGAATCATTAAAAACAGCATCGTTTGTGTAACAAATGTGGTAAACTTCCCTCAGAAATTTCAACAGGCAATAGACTTATTTTTTTTTTTTAATAATATCCAGTGGTCTCGGGATGTACGAAAGCGCCTGAAGAAATTGGAGCCACGTTAGCTCGTTCCCTTGATTCTATATTTCTGTAATTCATCTTGCGCTGAATTACAAACGAGAGTTGGATTGTAAATCGTAAGATAAACACGAGAAGTCTGTGAACACCGTGAATCACGCAAGATGCTCAAACTCATGATCTGCTGACAAATAGTGATCTATACATCTCTAGGTGTTATCGGCTTTTCGTTTGCCTTGATTAAATTCCGCGCAGAATGCCAATACAGTCTGGAGCCTGTTTCTGCTACAGTTGGGGCCAACACACGGTTTTTTTTACAGTAATATTAATAACAAGTTCACACAGACTCTACATCGAACGAGTTAGCTGGATAAAAAAAAATCCATCTGCTATGTACTGAGTTGTTATCAAAGTCGGATATCGGCGATCCTGGCAGGATTTTTTCCTCATTTAACCCTACGTTCTTTTTTTTTGTAAGCTCTCGTGACTCGTGTAATAAATAACCCACTGAAAATTCAACGGAACATCTAATTCGACGTTTCTCTTTACAGTTTATAGTGCACTTTAATTAATAATTCATCTTCAAACGCCAACACGAAGGTGAGACAGTACTAACGCATGCATATACAGTATCTGTGATAATTTCAGTGCCCCCCGGAGGTCAGTGTCCACATAAAACAAAGACTGCAATAAATTAACACGAAAGTCACACTCATCATTAAATCTATGTTCTGGAAACTAAAGAATGTAGGCTTAAAATCATGTTACTGTATAGGCAGGTTATCTTGGCAACCAAATTATAGAAAATCGGGGAAGAAGGTCTGGTAGAAATAATGCTTGTGGTACTGTGTGCAGTGACAATACCAGTACCAGCAGCTTCAACAAAGTAATTCACAGTAATAATAACAGTATACTCCACAGATGGTTTCTTAACAGTCAGTAGAAAGCCTGCTCACCCTGAAGATGGAAGCAGCAAGCACTTCTGAAACGTCGGTAAACTTCTACCAGACTACACGGCGCAGCTACCCAAAAGACAGCCATCTGTAAGATGAGATGTTTCTAAATGGCTGGTCGGAGGACCTTCAGGATGGATACTGACAACCAGCCAGCAGTCCGGCGACACACAATAATTAACTTCCCAGGGGACTCTTTTATTTCCCCGGCAAAGGTCATACTTTCATGTACACCAAGACCGAGCCTCGCAGAAAAACACAATCTAGCTACATCGACACTGCCAAACAGCTGTTCTTATGTGATTAAATATCGCTCTGACAGCCACATTTAACTCTGTCTTGTGGGCGTGTCATGTGAGATGCGCTAATTAACAACATAAGCATTGCCAACTACATCGCTCACATTCTCAAACATGTCTGCTGTCAGCCTCGTCAACAGTAAAGAACGCCTTCATGTATGCATAACCTGTGAGAACTAGCACTCTGACATCTAATTAAGGTCTTAAAAATCAACTATTAATCATATTTAACTCTTTCAAGCAGCGGTTATCAACTCGCAGACCGTCGCTGTTTCTTGTGGGGCCTGCGTGAATGTTGGTAACATTGTGAAAGCCTGTATGATTAAAAATATTGAAATGAATATTCATCGCCCTGATGACGGAGGCAGTATGACCTCTGAAACGTTGGTTAACATCGACCAGACTACACAGCGCAATAACCCAGAAGACAGAAATCTTCATATTCACCGCTGTGAGAACCTCAAGTCTTACAATCAGAATACATGTTTGTGGCATCAGTGTACCGCACGAATTCTGCAATGGATGCGAGTCCTAACGGGAACTGAACCTGATACTGAAAGATCTAATCAATTTAAAGTAGTGTCAAACATCTCGCTGTTAAAATACTGAGGAGTATGTGAACCTGATGATTACTGTCTTCTGAGATGTTGCGAACATGGCGTATTGACGTGTTCGGTCTCGAATATTGTTACTCGTAGTAAACAAGAAACTGTTGACAGGCGCAAAGCGTTTCTGCAAGTTCTACCCAACAAATAAAATCTAAAAAAAAGTATACTGATGTCATCAAAGTTTCCGTTTTAAACGGAACACACTGTATAAGTGAGAAATCGAAATTTGTTACGACCCCAATTTCGTCAACACTAGAAATGATGCCTGTAACTCTCTGGGCGCTGAGAGATGGACTTAATATTGTGCAGTCTATATTTACAGATCACTGGAGTGTTATTCTGACTGACCTGTATCCAGAAGGGCAGATAAAACCCCGAACAGCACAGCAATGCGGCGGAGAGAGACAAGAACGCCCACAAAATGCCGACTCCAGTCAAAGACGTTGCCATGGTCACAATACAACAATACACACTATAGTCTGACAAATATATCTTGGCCTAACGCTTCCTACAATCACACACACACACGAAATAAAAGTAGAACACTCTGTGTTTCTATTATTATATTCCGGACACCAGTCACAGTTTTCCTTTCTTAATCACAAAGTCTTAGTAAACGGCGATGATTCATTAACGTATCAACTTGCTCGGCGCCTGACGTCTTGCCAATGTGACGTTGAGAACTGACGACAAACAAGCAGAACTGGTAGTTAACAACGAAGTTAAATTAAACAACGGGTTTAAGACTCTCTGATAAGTAATTGTTTCTTTGCTTAAAGGGGCGAGAGTCGAAATTAATGATGGAAACAATACGAACCATGTAATTTACGCAATACGAACACAAGTTTTACTTTATAAACACCCGGTATCACCTGCATGCCGTCATTGTGAATACGGTGAGTCACGCCGACAAACAGAACAAGATTGATAATTCTGTCATCACGTTTCACGTGTTGTAGTTACACAGATTCCATGCCATTTCTTATACAAAACAGGTCCTCGTGTAACTTACAACTTTTAGCCATAACAAAACAGAAAATTGTTTAAAAACATTATAACTTGTCTGAGAATTTAATTGGAATTTAGCTTCGCTCTTTACAATTTAAAATATTCATACTTGTATATCGTCTATCTATTCTTTTATATGTAATTCAAGCTTCTGTGGTCATTTAGAGACCATAGATTCAATACAACGAGAACTTAAAATACTGATATTTTAAAATAGAGAAGACACAGAACACCCTAATTCCAAATTATCACACGTCTCCTACCGCAAAACACACGTTTCTCCTACTGTTTCCAAAAAAAAAACACGTGTTATTCCTTTCACATCACAAGACGTCCTTCTGATTCACTGAATCCGCGTGTATTACGTGTTCTGCACGGCAGTGACGGTCGGCGGTTGTACCTCCCGACGTACCCGTAGGTCTCATGCGACTGATTCATGCATCAGGCACGACGCCTCGAGAAAGAGACCGGTTAGTCGGCGCGGGACTTTCTGCGCAGGTCAAAGAGTTACGACCCTGAAAATGCATCGCTGCCCTCGTAAAACGCGTAGAGAGGAGGAGAGCAATTGCGTCCAGACGCGTGGAACAACGGTTCCTATCCGAGCGATACTAATAAAAAGTTAGGTTTATGATAAAAGGTTACGTCGCTGTGTCAGAATGAGGAATTTCGATGTCTTTGAATGTCTTACCACGGGTTCAACCGCACGGGGCAGTCCACACACAACACATCGTTGGCAAAACTGCGTTTCGAAGGAACCGCCATATGTCTTTTAGGCATCAATCTGAGATGTGGAAAATTCTGAACCTGGTTCATGACCACAGGTAGCAAGCCTGTGTAGCAGAATAGGTTTTTCTTCCGTAGAAACAACCACTTTATTTCACTTTTCATTTGGCATGTTAATATTAACAAAAAAATAATTACCCTAAGTGAAATTTGTATCTTCCGTCAAGAAAGTTAAGTACAACTGCACTCGTGTTATCGAAGCCAGTAACAAAAGCACACTAAAGTAAATTATTACGTAAAATTTAGACGCTACGTGGTGGGAGGGAATGTGATTCATTCCGCTACGTGCAGAGTTGACTTGGTAAAATGGAACGTTCCGACACGGCACGTGAGATAGCCACAATCAGCAAAAGTGTGAAGATAACAAGATGGTAGGCAACTTTAAGACGTATGTAATGGGTTTTGAGGTATCGATATCAGGTTCTATACTTGAGCGATTCTGGAAAACTTGTGCCCGACTTCTGAGGACTGTGAAAAGTTGGGGAAACATCAACTCCGACACAGAGAGGGGACATTCATATTAAGTGCCCTTTCAGAGACCTTGTGCTCATTTTGTGGACCATATTTGTATTACGTAGCATTTTTATTATATAAAACCAAACGACTGCTATAACTCCTTAACCCCTGGAGTTTTCTTTTGCGGTAAACGCATATGTCGGAAGCCTTCTCGAACTTTCGTGGTATTTAAATAAATACATATTTGAAATAAGTCTTCGAAAAACAGTTTCTGATTTTTTTTTTTAAAAAAATTCACTGCATCTGTACACTAACGTTGAAACTGATGAAGAAAGTTGTTTTTTTTAACTGTTGATTGTGGAATGTAGCAGTCGACATGAGCGCCTCTAGGCGACGGACAGAAGCAACTGAAGTTCTCATTATAAGAACCGAGGGTAAAAAGAAATAAAGCTGTCAGAACGGGCGATACAAAAACATGAGGGCCGCGGGCGGTCGTTATATCAACAGGATCAGTCAGTCATTCGTTTGCGAAACAAAAGATAAGACAAGTATCAAAGTGGCCGGAGTGTCTTGGGGGGGAAAAAACAGCAACATTTCAGACCGCGTTCAGAGCGAGGAAGGCAGAGGTTGAAGCACACGAGAGCTTTGAAGACAAAAATTCCCCTTTTCTGGATGTCGTGACGAAACAAGCCAGGTTTTCTGCGCCCCAGGCGGACAGATTTTTGATTTCAAAATACGAGGCACGCAAACACGAGGCGAATAAGTACTCTCGCACCCATAAATGGCCGAAAGCACAAACAGGAAACAGCTTGAAGATTGAGAAAAATACGTAAAAAATACCTTCATAGACAAATGAAGTAAGATAAGATGGACGGAGCATGTAGGACGCAAGGGGTAGCCAAAAACAAAGTAATACGTAAAATTTCTGCCTCGACGTCAGATTGGCACGATCAGGCTATCTGTTATCGCCTTTTCAAAAAAAGTTTTAGTAACACAAAATTGAATAAGGAACAAATATTTAAGCGTGAAGTGGCTGGATTTTAATGTTCAAGAACTGAAGACAACTTTATACTTCGCCCGTGTTTTTCAAGTACATCGCGAAAAGGCGTACGCTTTATAAATATGAAAAGAGTTTCCAAAAAGTCTGTGCCGCTCCAGATTATTCCGCAGACGGATGAAAGCGGTAGACGGTGAAAAGAGTTGGAATAATGTTAAGTGGAGGAAGGTAGTAGGACTAACTGGTCCTCCTCACCCTTGCGATATATTTCAGTTAACTAAAAGCCTACGAAAAAGCAGGCACACACACACTCCACCGCAAGTACTGTACGTATTAAAAACATTTATCTAACAGAACGAAAGCAAAACATATGAATTCAAGACCGAGAGTCTCAGCCAAGTAGTTCGTACCACTGTTTTCGTGAATGGAAGGTCCTGGTTTCACGACTCGGCCCGGACTGAGGTTTTTCTTCGTTATTTCCCTCAAAAATTAGATTAATGTGGCTAAGGATAGGAATCTGCGACAGGCTCTTACGAACACGGTAATGAACCTGTGGCTTCCGTAAAAGCACGGAATTCATTAACCAGCTGAGAGGTTGTTAGTTTCTTGGTCTCTGTCGCAGGCAGCTTTTAGTTAGTCATGAGTGTTATCCGTTCTACAAACATTACCACCCAGTTTATTTAATTTAGTGTTCTGTCTGACGACAGGTCCATATGAACAGGATCCTTCCATCCTTTTCTCGGACTGGGACCTGTTCATATACGTTCTTGGCAGATGATCCAGAAGTGGTTTGCCATTGCCTTCTTCTGTGTGTGAATGGAGTAATTGTTGGGATGCCACGAAGGAAAACTCCGTGTTGCCTAGACCATTCGCTCAGTTTCTATGTCGATAATGTTTTTGGTTTACGTAGTATATGCGTTTGTGTTTCTTCTACCCGCAAGCTAGTGACGTAGGCGAAACTTAGAAAAATAATATTTTTTTTTCCCTTTAAGGTAGGGAGGTAGGTCGATGTTTGTGTACAATATAAAACACGTTACAAAGCATTAAAAATGGTACAGTATGAAAACATTGCGTGTCAAGGCAGAAATCGTGTATATTCTATTACAGCACGGCCTGCGAGTTTGAGCTTCCTTCAACTGTTACTAGGCCGCGTGTCTGCAAACCGAAGGCAGTTTAATGTTTATCCACGTCTGGGATAACGAAAGCAAATAGCCCTAGTTACATGTTTCTTTTTACGCGTTCAATACGCCACTGGACGCGCGTTGATCCCTTGGGACGTGGCTTACGGACAGGTTATGAGATACGAGTTCTAATTAACTTTCCTCTCACAGAGAGAGAATATGGTCGTACGTAGAGAAGTTATTGCTGGGAAGGTTAGAAAAACCCATTACAAAAGGAGGGAAAACATGGAAGAGATTGAGATGTAGAGGAAATGGAATGGAGAAGTGGTGATTATGTTAATGATAACAAGAGATAGGCGCAAAAATATCGACACACACAGAATTGAAAATACGAAGCAAAGACACGAAGACGTAGGAGAAATAAACAGACGGTGAGAGGGTAAAATTGGATCGAGAGAAAAGAATATAATTGACTGAAAACAGAAGAGAAGATAAAAAGTTATGGAATACAAAACGACATATTACCCATCTGCCAAGCTTTCTTTCTTATTTTCCTTCTGTGGCAATAAATTCGTTTCCAAATCTTGTTAGTTTGTAGGAAGCTGAGATATATATAAAAAAAAAAAAGGCGATGGGGGTGACCTCCCTTTCACCAAGATAAGAGTGGCACCGGGTGCCATTTTTCATCTCCGACCTTACTACAGGCAACAGGAACACGTTGCCTTCACAGCGGCAGTCAACGCGACGTAAAACACTGCAACAGATTTGTTTGCGGGCGAAGTTCGGGAAGCCTCAAGATTGAAGGCAACACGAGCCTCATAAGAAATTGATTTAAAGGCTGAAGATTCTTGTAATCTCGACATGACTTCGTTGATAGGTTGTGTGTAAACTTTACACGCAAGTTTTCGAAGAGGCAGTGAAAAAAGTGAACCGAAGAGTGAAAATAAGAAACATTTATTAAAGTTCGGATCCGGGAAATAGGATATTGCTTGAAATTTATAATATTGCTTGGGGGGGGGGGGTTATAGTATCGAGGATCCACTGGGAGAAATATTTTTCACGTTTTGTGCCAAGTCCTGAACTTCACGCCGATTTCAGTTTTGGAATACAGAAATGTATTCCGTTTGACACTACAAGAAGGATTTTAGACAAATGCCAAGTTACAACTCTTATACTATCGTGACTAATTTACCCGAATTCATTAAAGTAAATTCAAGTTGGGTATGACATCCGACTGCATGAGATTTAAAGACGGAATGTTGTATGCCTGACAATTTCACCCAAAAGTTGCATTATGCCTAGTCCAAGATCTCGTGATATCACCACCAGAAAACGTTGTGTTCAGAGACTGATATTAGCACTAAATTTGGTGGATCGATACTGCATTATATACATACATACACGGTAGTTAACACAAGCAGCAAATCAGCTTATATTTTGTGTGGTTTACTATAACGTCATCTAATTATATTGTACCTCGACACCTGCAAGTAGAACAGAATCGACTAAGTGAAATGAAGTGAATTATATTGTACAGTGCAGTACACATACAACTGGCAATTCTCAGAGTACAGCCAGACCAATTCAGCATCAGACAAATATTCACCTGGACGGACTTTACTGTAAGTTTTCGTTTGAACACATTTTTACTAACATGACTATGCAGTTTAAATTCAGTTAAATGTTGAAAAATACGTACTGGTCTCCCGAGTCATTGGCAGTGCCAACTTGCTAATTGCTCTATGGAGGTAACAAGTACATCTAAAACGTTGGCAAACTCTACAACACTTCATGGCGTTACGACCCACAATAAGGGTTATCTTAGATGTACTAATTGTTTAACTAAAATCAGTTTGGAAACCATACTAGTCCGTAAAATGTGTAATAACAGATTAATCAGTACACAAATTTCAGTCATGAGTTATACTGCTAAACGAAAGTTTGTTGCTATAAAGAAGTAATGGCGGATTACACATGAGATTAATAGCAATAAATGAAGATTTAGTAAGTACAAGAAATACCGTAATATATTTTCAAGAATACTTACATATTTTCTGCAGATTAATGACAACTCTTCGTAACACTAAGCATTCCATGATCACTAATTTCAAGCACAATTACTCGTTTATGAAGTTTTAAAGACACCCGTATCCAAATACCTCTAAAACGGAAAGAAACACTGAAAACAATGCAACCAATCAAAATAAAACTAATCAGTACACTGCCATCTGTCAACACTAAGTCGAACCAGTATTAATATCTGCGAAACGTTCTCGAATCACAAGCACGTGTATGGGGTAGTCTTAACCTATACAAACGTCCTGCGTTAACGTAAATGCTTCTGCATGTCCTACAAAGTCTCTTTATAGAATTTGGTTTCTGCATTAACACATGTAGCTTCAGGAAACATAAATACGGTTTTATTATCACAAAATCAGGTTTGAGTCAACATTTATATATTGGAACTGAATATAAAACTAGGAAACGAATTTAATTCTGCAAGCTTAGGGTGTAAGAAGCTTGCACATTTGTTCAAATTTCTGTTTGTCATGCTATCATTTTTTGATACTTTCTCTTTGTTTCTTTATGTTCATATATTTGACTGATGTATCTTACCCCAATTTATGAACCAGCCACAATTTGGGCAAAAATGGATTTATGGAAACAAAATATGTTAGACGCATAAACAGAACGGCAGACAACAAATGGGCCAAACTAGTGCCAAAGTGAATGCCACATGAAAGGAGAAAGATTAATAGTTAGATAAAGGGAATATGGATTAATGTAATGGTAAGACAAGGTAAGGCAGTGGATTAATATAAGTGAATGGGAATCGGAAGATGTTGGTAACATTAAGCAGCTGACATATATTCACATACTCAGAGAGTAAATTTAATGCCCCGTGGCATACTCAACTGAAATGACGCAAATATTGTCATGTAAATAAAAATTCACTGTATCATTTCATATTTTATAAATATATTTATACATCTTTTGTATACAAATGACATGGACACTGCCAGAATGTTCTGTCATTCTGAATTAATTTTCTCTCATGACACTTCTAGATTTGAATGTCCTTCAACCACAAAAGACATAAGAACAGATGTGTTCTGACAGACACAGCAAGAAATATGTTTGCATCTGAGTCAATAATCAAAGTTATTCAACACTGAACATTCAAGTTCATGTCATCAATACAATGAAATCAGTACAAAATACAGATAGTTAATACTGCTTTGAGCAATAATATACATTACATTTACTTCAATAATACAAAAGAACAATACCAACCATAGAACCAATTCATTCAACTTCAATTTATTTATAAATTACTGGGGTCCGTTATTGTCAGATTACTCTGGCTGTAGACTACTTTCATATTATCTAAACAATGGTTATGGATAATATTTATGAACATGTAAGTTTACATTAGATATTTCTGTCATTCTTGATGGGCAATCTGCTCATAAGAAATATTAAAGATGTGGACATTTAACATAGAAAAAACTACAAGGTTCCTATTTGATTTAACATACGACTACGAACAATCGTGATTTCTAAGACATGAAAGTGAACTTATAAAAACAGGAACACATTCTACACACTCTACTAACCAAATGAATGTAAAGAAGACAACAAGTTTTAAAAGCGCATCAAGTTAAAGCTAAATTTAAAATGTAACCATAGTGTAGAGTATAAACTCCACAGAGTCTTAAACTCTGAATGGTCATCTTACAGCGGACTTTCTTCTTGCAAATAATATCAGTATCAACAATCTTACTCATGATGCATTCCAAAAAGGACCCAACTTTGAGACCAGTTTGGGGATGTCTGAACTGAAATTAATATGGATAACAACAATCACAGTACCAGTAACAATAGAAATAAAAATAATAGTAACAACAATAACAACAGTTATCTTCATACAGTGAGAACCTGATATCTCACCAAGATTAAATTATCTCTTTTGTCAACAACAAATGGTTTCCTGTGTTCACACAACTGGCAGACTCTGCTGAATACAATAATATAATGACTTAGAGAGAATCACATGTCTTTACATTATCAGCAATACTGTAGTAACTTTGACAATATTGTAATAAGGAATGGAGATTCTGTACATTTCAACAAACAATCTCTAAGGATTAAATACAATTTAATATTGCCGGTGCAGTGGCCACGCGGTCTGAGGCATGGTCCTCTTGCGCCTGGCCGCTGCGACCGTGGGTTCGAGTCCAACTCAAGGCATGGCCTCCTCTTCCAGTCTGGTGGGTAAAGACTGGCCACGGAAGGCAAGGCGAAACCGCCATGGTACTTTCGCGAGAAGACCCCGAAAAGGGGTCATGACGGTCAAGCTGACCATAGACGATAAAAAAAAATTATTATTAACAGTCAATAATATTCTATAAGAAATACAAGATTCAGTACGTCAGACCGAGGACATATCAGCATCCTCTTCCTCTGTGACCCGATAGCAGTTACGATAGTAACGTCACAGAATTCTAGACCTGAAATGAATTTTAATTCATTATACAGATTTAAGATATTATACACTACTGATCTATGCTCTACACATGCAAGTAAAAACAATCGTATTCGATTCCTGGTCCTTGAAATATCATTTAGGAAAGAAGAACATCGTGGCCTGCGCAAACTTACATCTTGTCTGTTCCTAATTCTTCCTGGCTTGCCTGGAAAGCACAGAGAAATATTACATAGACACGTGATATCTGTATGATGACATGTTATAAATACACTCACAAATTATATACGACAAAAGTAAAATTATAACATACTGGAAAGATGGCTTCAATTCAAACCAGATATGACACTCCTTTAGGTCTTAGACTATTCAACATAAAACTGGAGAACTGTCTTGCCTAGAAGCTGTTATAAGATTCAGGTAGCATTGCTCACGTACCTACATCTGTCTCAGAACCTGGATCAACTCGCACAGAAGGCTGCCATCCCTGAATGCAATAAGGCCATCATGATTACAGTGCAAAGATCCAGGACTCAGGCTTTCTGCTGTGTGATTTTCACTGTAGTTCAGTTCCGACTCCTCCAGGTTTCCATCTACTTCTAGCACTTTCTTGTAGCTCACAATTCCTCCACCAAGAGCCTGGAGAATTGCGTGAGGTCCACATGTGTCCCACCTAAATGTTGAACCTTTTGAAAGAACATATATGTCAGCATCTCCACGAGCAACACACAGCTGCTTGTAGCCAGCGCCTGTCACCTCGGATACTGTGTAGCCGGCTGAATGCAGCCGAGACTTGAGGTTCGAGCTCTCACTGCCACTCAGTACTACAATCTGAAACAAGAACCAAGGTAACATCAATGAGACGGCTGTTGGCTCATGTATTTTGCAAGTTAATTTTAAGCTGGTTGGTTTGTACGTTACCGAATGATGCCGCACTGCTTGCAATAATTATTTCGCAAGTAATGAGAATACAGGATCATTCAACAGTGTGAATGACTATGAGCTGGAGAAGTGCCATTCAATTGGCAGGAGAGGTATTTTTCTCTCTGTCACCATGTGGCCTACACAGTCTCCTCTCCAAGTTCTGAGGTTCTTTCCTTGAATCGAAATAAGGATGAAGCGCGAAGGTGACCACTCACCTCCAAGCAGTAAGAATGGTGATATTCTTCAGGGTTGTAATGCTGTGTAGATTTGTAGGTAGATACCAATATTTTGCATACACATACTATCATATCCAATCCATTTAACACCCATTTTAATTGAATCATTATATCTAGACTTGAATCTCTCAAGTGGCTTCTTTCCATCAGGTTTTGCAGTTAAATAATAATAATCCATGGCATAACAGCCCTCTGAGAGCCAACCCGACAAGCTGGCCGCTGGCCCCACATTCACATGCCTAAGCAGAGGTGAACGATCATCCAACCAGATATAGGGTGACGTGTGGTCAGCACGATGAACCCCCGGCCATTGCTGGTTTCCATGACCGGATTACGCTACCCAATTTCCTCACGATGCTGGGTTGGCACCGGTCAAAAATCTCATGAGAAATTTCTTTCTCCGAGACTCGAACCAGCGCATTCCATATCACCAGTCCGAAGCATGATGGCTCAGACCGTGCGGCTACGGTGCGGGACAGGTTTTGCAGTTAAAACAGCTTAATATCAGCCTAGCTCACCTTTGATTTTCCAGGTTTTATATCACTTGGTAACGATGCAGAATACTTGGAATAGTCCCCAAATTTGAAACCCCACTGGCACTTTCCCTGCCACCTGCAAGAAACAGAAAACATCTTCAAGAGCATTATGCCAGATGGGTGTATTTGCATAATTAGACATATGTGGTCCAACAACATAAAATAGTGGGTTAAATGTCATATCAGAAGGGTGTAACACTCATCCTGCTCTGAACAGAGATAAAGACAAGTTACATTTGGGCATGTGAACACTAATAATGCATATCTGTCACACCAAACAAGCATGAGAGTTTAGTCTCCTGTAAAAAAGTAATTTTGTTGGTACACCTGTGTGGCATGATACCCTCTTATAGAGCATGCCATCGATATCATTTGAATACCCAGTCCATCCTTTCTTATATCTGTCATAATTTCTCTATCTGTTATTATGTCACTGTCTGTATCACACAATTACAATTCTGGATAAAATTTGAACTAAAATCATAGTATTTTGTACAGATTTAATTCATATTTGACACTGTCTGAAAAAGAATAGTAGTCCATTGTTTTGAACATGGAACAGCAAAAGAATTACGCTATGGGATATAATATTTGGAACAATAAATCTGCAGTTACGTGCTTATTTGAACAAGTGGAATTATATGTCTGCTAGAAGAGGAGGTCAACTGTAGCGCTCGTCCGCTGATGTCTCTATAAACAACTAGTCTTGATGGGGCTCTAGTATAAATTCACCTGGATCCATACTGTGCGTGGAAGGGTTGATTAACAATTCCTAGGATTGGTTGACCTGTGACCCTGTCAAACACACCAATCAGGACTGTCACACAGCGTAATCCACTCTGGTACATGTCACCCACTGATAACTTCAAATCTTCACCACTGATGTACTCTGAAGTTGAGTCTGAAGAGGAAATATCCAGTTAGATAATGAATTCCGTACAGGCAACCATTACAAATTTCAAGTTAAAAATTTTAAAAAATTATATAATAATATAGTATAATATTAATGACTACTTAAATTATATGAAAGAATATAGAGGAAGAAGTGTTGACATGTACTCTGCAAAGCCGTGTGTCTTAGAGTTTACAGTAAATAGTCTGAAACAGTTCTGATTGAAAAACAAATAATTTTCTACACAACCCAACCGATTTAGAAACATCATAAAATGCTGAGTTACATAAGTATATAAAGTCAAAATCACACCAATAGGGTCAATCCACATGCCACACTGTTCCAGTGGCAGGTCCAACAGCGGCAGATTTGTGTCTGTGTTAACTTCGTCCACACCAATATCTCTGTGGACTTCCGCAGCCAGCATTTCAGATGCCTGAGTATCACCACTCAGAACCTGTAAATAAACCGGGACATAATCCGAACATGTTCTGGAAACATCCATTTTATCTGCTGTAAAAACATTCCATGTGACATTTATGCAAGCAATTGTGCAAAATGCTAATGAATGTGCTGCGTATCAGTTGCTTGTTTATTTATGATTTATTTAATAAAGCTGTCAAAAGCTCAGAGTATATAGCATCAAGTGATAGGATTAATGAATGAATAATGAACTGGAAATGAGCCGGGATAGCTCAGTCAGTATAGTGACTAGCTACGGGCTGGACAGCCGGGGTTCGATCCCCGACGGGGGCAGAGGATTTTTCCTCTAGCCTCTGCGTCCAGACCGGCTCTGCCTCCTCTACAATGGGTACCGGGGGACCTTTCCCGGGGGTAAAGCCGGCCGGGGCGTGATGCCGACCACTCACCCCCATCTAGTGCCGAGGTCAAGGAAGAGACGAGCTATACCTCCACTCACCCCAAACGCCTACATGGCGTGTAGTGGGACAAACTTTACTTTTACTTTACTATAATGAACTGGAAAGGATACCCACAGGAGTCATGGCCTAATTTAATGTACAATCCCAGATTTTGCTTGGAGGGATTGAGGAAACCCATGAAAATACTAAGAAAAGTCGGTCTCTGGGCCGAGATTTGAACAAGACACCTTTTAATATGAATCGTGAGTTTTAACCAATGAACCACAAATTTTGGTGAGCATTAGTGGTAGCAGACGAGAACGCAACAAGTGTTTTGCTTGCAGCATGCAAGTGTATGAATAAACTGGGTAATAAAAATATGAAATTACACTTCTACAAACCGTGCTGAGGAGGGTGGCTGTAGCTGTCTGATCTGCCTGCACCTCAACTGTGATGGTGTCTCCAAGAGTATTGCTGAATGTGTTACTCTCCTCCCCAAAGATGTGATCCGCAATGGCAGGAAACTGTAATGTCACAGATATCATTTAAATGAGAGCTAATAATTCATAAACTCCTGAATGCAATGTTGCATCTTAAAACTGTTTGATTCATAGATTTTCTTGATATTTGTTGAATCCTCTGGAAAGAGATTTTTCATGTTCTTAACAATTTCAATAAATATAATCTGCCTGGCAAATGCTTTATCCAATACATAACAATTGCTGTCGTCATCATATAATTCCATATTGGTAAAAATTCATGCCGGTTGCAAGCTTCCCACATCTACACCGTAGCCAAACCCACAGTAAATAGTTTTATGGTTGGCCATCTATGCCTTATTAATTTCACCAATGGAATATGCAAAGATTATAAAATGTCATATTACTTTTACAAAATAACAAAGAAAAGTGGATATTCTCAGTTGAAAATGATAGAGCATGTGTATTCCAGGTGAAGTACACAAAATGTTTGGAAAAATATTAACCAGAGCTTCATAACAGCACAAATACCTGAAGCCCTACATCATGCTTCACTGTTTCCTGTATCAGAACATCTGCCAGTGTTTTGAAGTCTTGCACAAATCTTGGATTCTTCTCTGGCCCTTTCTTCTCTTGGACCAACAACCTAAACAGATGTTCATCCTGCCGAATTACTCTAGCAATGTTGGCAGCCTTTTCTGATGTCTTCAATAGTAATTCAAGGAAACGGGTACTCATACCTTGATCTGTGAAAAATAATTAAAGAAATCACTATCTCAGTGGAGCAAAGTCTTTCTCAAGAAGATAACAATTGCTCTGCATGTCCAAACCAGTTTTCCTCTTGTTTAGAAATGTTAACAAAATTTAATTTGTAAGCTGTTAAATCAAATGTGACATATTTCAAACAGTGACACCTTGTATAAATACACATTCTGTATAAAAGGTAAGTTTTGACATGCACAGATTATTGACATTAGTTGGATAGCACAGATAATTCTGGCACCATTTGAGAATTTTATCTCATAATTGTAGAAACCATTAAATTTATCTCATTAAGTTAAAATTAAAAGATTATTTTTACATTGAACTGCTCTTTATATCCCTAATTTCAAAACATTCCTCAGAAACCAATATGCAGTTGAATATCGAGAAACTGTTAGCTTATAAATTTTGTCAGTGGATGCACCATGATTCTTTGATTTACTCACTTTGCGAGCTTCCAAGTGCTGACATTCCTAATGTTTCTGATTTTGGATTTAACACCTAGCATATCAAAATTAGGCACAATGTTCTTCGCTTTAACGATATTTTCAACGCATAATCTATTTTTATCTGTCTTTGTACATTCTGCAACTACGGTTCCAAAGACAGGGCTATGTTCTTACATCTGTAAAAACTTTGTCGTCTTGTTATTGACCACTTTTTAACTTTTCGAGGGGGACATATTAAACAGTGCATAAACACACAAATGAGCGTAATGCAATGTCTGGGAGCCATTTTTACAGTGAGTCAGGAAAAAATTGCAACTATTGTGTTGCTGATTACGGAAAGATCTGTGGCACCAATTGACTGGTGTTATTATAATTAACAAACTATCGCAGCATATTGACCGCCAGCAAACACCGGAAGTTTGCCACCACAGCTGAATTTTATGCCGGAAGATTACACTAATTTGACAATGAAGTAATCATGTTAACTTCGGATTTTAATTTAATGCCATATAAAAAAATTACGTACGCAATATGATGACGAAAAATATGATATACTTCACTGTGAAAATTAATAAAACCAATCGGTCCTAGAAGACATTTTCTGAAACACAGGCATACCTGATTTTATTTACGAGCAAACTTGGTTTCTTAGATGTCAATTTTGGAGTGAAAATCAGCTGACTGTAGCCAACAGAGGAAAAATAAATCCAGAAACCGTAAATAGTAATTAATTTATTAAAATAGAAATCATACTAATTCACCGTTTCTAAAATAAATTATAAACATATTATATTAGAATATAATATTAAATACTTACTTTCCATTCAGAAAATAACCCTACATTTACAAAGAGAAGAGCTAAATGCATTGCATAACCTTTGAAGTTGGTAATGGTTAACGCGGCAAAGTGGTAATATTATTGTCAGTGTACGTTGGCAATACTTTCATCTACGAGATAATTACCACAGTTCATAAACTATGGAAATTATTTCGTTTGCTACTTCCCCAATACCTGACCTAGAATGAATTATTTGCCGACAAGCTGTTTTGGCAATCACCGTTAAAGAATAAGCACATGATAATAATGCTGTGCTATGCTATTTACTTTTGTACATTTTCTGCACTCTCATCAATAACAAATCTGATAAAAGAAAACATATTGACTTCGGCACAATGTAAATGATAATGCAAACCTCAAGTCATTTTCTTAATGAGGAATTCTGTGGGGACTTTTGTTTAATGAGAAGTCTTAAAACCATTTAAAGTTAGATGTTTAACAGTGAACTCATACTTCTTTCTCTATACACACCCACTAATACCTGGCTGCAATCTACAAATGAAAAAATTTAATTATCAAGCAAGTGTTACACATGCTTAGCACAATGCATCAGTGAAAAGGGTTAAAAATTATAATAATACTTTCAGTGAGTGTGTTGGAAATATCAACATCAAAATTAGCCGACAACCATCTGCAAATGAACTCAGAATGCCATCCTGTGATCTGCTGTGTACTGCTGAAGGCAGGGCATAATGACTAATGATTGCATCTGGATAGAACTGACACTTGGAATTTCGTTCTATTCAATTCACTATTTATACTTACCTCCATAGTACAGTGAACACATAAAAATAAACTATTAATGTAGGATGGCTGTGACCGGAGCCATCAATGTTAAATTGTTAACTCAATCTTAACACTAGCTCTGTATATTAAATGATTATATCCCTGTGTAAACTGCTAATGCAACACCAGAGGAAAGCCTAAATACATGTAATATCAATAACAAATGCCCATCCATACAATTTCTAACATAGAAAATACAACAAAACTTTGCATCACAACCACAGGAAATAGTAGAGTATAAGAAAAGTACAAATATAAATCCACAAAATTCTGCACATCATACATCCCAACCAATGAAATTATATTCTACTCCTTACCTCATATATACTTAACATTTTTCAATTGTAGCTCAGTCTTGTCCAATGGTGGAGAATTGGAGAGGATCAAGATGGAGGGTTGCTGAGGTTCACATGGCTGTGCTCACACATTACAGAAAGCAGAGGGGAATGCTGTGGTACAGTGCACATCAAATATATATTAAAATCACACTTTGTACTTTAAATAAGCCAATATCACCATAACACATTGCAAGACCACTAGAAGAACACATATTCCTGATCATCATTACACAAAACTAGTTAAATATAAACAAATCAGGAGAAAGAGGCAGTCAAATTGTCTACCAAAACAAATTAAATTAACCAGCATCAGATCAGAGGGTCTTCTGGGAGCAGGCCCCAACAGACATTCAACTGGTCAAAGAAATCACTGTTCATAACCTTGTTCACAAAAGCCCTCTAAAGGATTATTTCCTGAAATGGTTCCTTTCAGTTTACATACTCACACCCTAGCTTCATAAGAACAGTTATGGTCCCTTTCCAAGATGTTTATCAACAAGGTTCGAATGCAATTCATATCAGGACCAGTGGACACAAAGAGGATGGGTAGCCAATATGGATGATGTAAAGATTACAAGTTTTGATATGTGACAAGTGTAACTGCAGTAAGCAGTTCTAGTTAAGAAATTACATGTCTTTTATGGGACCCAGAGGTTCATTACCATGCTCACAAAAATCCACAGACCCTATCACGAGGCAAATGAATCCAATCCACGCTCTCACATCCTACATACACTCAAACATAAGTTCACTATAGGCAAAATATACACAGTCTTATATCTGTAAGCATATTTTGCTGGTTCCAGGTTGAAAACGTATATTTTCAGAAATCAGGTCCTTTGAATAAACAAGTACAAAAATCTGATTACACAATTTGGTTGTGAACTTAAAGCCAAAGACCTAGGATTACTTTGCTCAATCTACAAATCACTTAACAATTCGATTGTCGAGGGGCAATCTGTGATTATGTTTAAATCTTGATCCAAAATTACATGTGTTATCCACCTGCATCATGACCATAACATCAATAAACACACCTCTTCCCCCAAGGTGAAAGAGCAATCTGATACCATGTTTGACAAGCATTATACTACTTTTCATTTGCATTCATTAAATTATACTTTCAGGAATATTTTGTAATAAAACTCCATTTGCAACTGTGAATTTGCTTTCTTCTCACAATGTCAACATTTATTCATACTTTCAAAATGACTCCTCAGTAAGCTTTTCATTATTCATCACTTGTTGAAAATCACCAGTCAAAAGTAATCGTATTTAAGATGATCCCAGCATTCACTCCTGTGTTGGTATATTTTTATCGGAATTCTTTTTAACATAAAATAAACAAATATATTTTTAAACTTCTACACCAAAACACTGTTTAAAACTAAACATGGTAATAGCAAATATATTGTTCATGAGTGTGGTCATCAAAAGTCTTTTGCACTGTTGTATTTCAATCTACTTCCTACAGTGAAGAGACGGACTTATAGTGGTTGTGGTTGTACCTGTGAAAAAAGAATTTGCCATACTCAAAGGTAGAGATCATGATGGCACAGGCTGGTGCGACCTTGACAAGCCGTGGTGCAAGGCCAGTGAACAACCCGCTGATTCCATTGCGACTGTAGATATTCTGCAATGTCTTAAGCATGGAGCTGCTTCGCCCAGGGGGTTCTACAACAGTAATGCAATGTGGGAGCTCTTAGTTGCATAGGTTCCTGCAGGGGGAACCCATACTTTGGAGATAGTGTCTTACAAGGCAGTCAGTATCATGAGTTGATTTATATAATTTCTGAAAGTCATTAATGCGAAATTCATTCTGATTAGACTGCTTATAATCATTAAAGTAATTCAGTTTACATCTCACAACTTCCAAAATCTTGGAAATTTATAGTAGTTAATATGTTTAAAATAGAAAAATTACCAAGTCACACAGTTATTGACATATAACTTATGGTAGTTTCTTTATACTGATGAAAGTCAGTTAACAGAAGATGGTCTCTGAACTTCTATTTTCTGTAATTATGCAGCATCTCCCTGATTTCTGAAGGTGTACCATACCTGTAAAAGTTGGTCCAGTGCCAAATATTGAGTTCAGTGTTATCCTGCCCCTCTTGCCTGCAAGCCACCAGTGTCACCACCGAGAATAAGGCACAGGGATGTATTACAGATGACGCATGCAAAGCGACACACACATACATATACACAATCAACCCCATGTGGCACCCTGGGATATACAACCTGTATACTATTACCTTACAGTCACATATATCTAACCCAATCCGTACATACAAGCTGTGTTTTACATCACATTTTTCATTGTTATTAATGCCCGCTACATCATGTACATATTCAACACTGCAGACACTCCTCTAAAAAGAATGGGCAGTCTTCAGTTCGTTGGACACTTGGTTAGTATTTCATGCAATAATGTTATCAACTGTAAAATTAAATCAAGGCTGATAAATCAAGATAAAATTAAATACAAGCATGACTGTTGTCATTTCCCATATCCTTCTACAAGCAGCTGTCTGGAAAGAACAAATATCAATAAAAATAGCTGTGTTGTGGGTTGTTGCGTCATGTAGTCTGGTACAAGTTTACCAACGTTTCAGAGGTCCTCGCTGCCTCCATCATCAGTGCAATGATGATGATGGAGGCAGCGAGGACCTCTGAAACGTCGGTAAACTTCTACCAGACTACACGGCGCAACAACCCACGAGACAGCCATCTTCAGACTCACCGCCATGAAAATCTCAAATCCCACAAATATCAGTAAGACATCACTTTATTTTCACCATAATGCTGTTCCACTGAATGATCTATCAGATTACAACAACAAAGGATTAAGTATCTGAAGATTTAGTTATGTGGTTAATTTCAGTCATGGCTGTACGGTAAAGTGGCGTTCACTAACCTGAATATATTTCCTTCTCGCCTAGTTCTATCTGTTGGTGAGTTTTCACAACATCAAAAGGGGTGGTTGCGACTGCAGCAATCTACAACAGACACAGTATTATTGCAAGTACCGCTATTAATTAAAAAAAAAAGATTACATCCATAATACTGCACCTACGCAACTTTCAATGTCTCCACTGAGAAACTGAGAGTACAATGTAACCAGTACAGAAAGAGAACAGTCTATAACAAGCTAAATCATTACCATCATCAATTTATTAATGCGGAGTATGCAGAAGTTGTTGCATGAAACGAGAGTTCTTTTATGACGCCTTTGTGGCATCAAGTGATTACTAACTAGTCACAAATTTCACAAACTGTACCTTGACTGTACTTTTGGCAGGGCTGCTTCTAAAATTATTTACAGATGACAGTCTGCATTCCAAAATCTGAAAGCAGTTCACCCCCACAAAACATTTCCTCTTTCAACTAGCAGAGCACGATCCAAAAGTCTCTGCAGCAAGCTGGCTAACTGATCTTTCACGTAAAGAAATCATACCAAACATTGGTCACACTTGTAAATACTTACTGAGCCTGCAACTGCTCCAGAAAAAAAGCTGACACCAAATGAAGGCACACCTGGTGACAAAATGCTCTTTATCTTCTCATAATGGAGCCAATAAATACCTGTCAAGAAAGATAGTTAAGCTAAAGTTACACATTAACCAAGCACCCTGAATGTGGCTGCTGGTCCGATGAACAGGCTGCTCAGATAGAATTTCTACACAGAACTATTTACCAGTCTGTGTGAGCATGTGCACACATATGTATATACCATTCCTTTTTAAAGCACTATCCAAAGTCAATAAATATCTCTCGATAAAAAAGAAATGTTATCATGTTGTTGTTATTATTATTTATTTTTGACTGCAAATGGGTTTTTACCCGGTGGCAGTGGTCCTACAATAAGACACAACAAAAAAATAAGACACAACAGAACAATGAGATACAACAAAACAATGAGCCAGAACAAAACAATAAGACACAACAAAACAATGAGACACAACAAAACAATAAGACACAACAGAACAATGAGATACAACAAAACAATGAGCCAGAACAAAACAATAAGACACAACAAAAACAAGACACAACAAAAACAATAAGACACAACAAAACAACACACCACACTCAAAATAAAACAACTCATAAGATTACAAAACCATATAACCTAAAGTACATAACTTAAAAATTAATACCAACTAGACATAAGACAGTAACAGTAATGAATTACATACGTCATGAACTGATGCACTCACATTTCATCAGGACCTTCTCTTCACTTCACTACACTTATGAAGCCTTCCCATCCTCACCCCAATTTACCCCCCTTCACTGCACCTCATTTATCAATTTTCTAACCTTCTTCCTAAAAGCTCTTGGTTTACAGGAGAGAGTCCCTAAAACATCAGCAGGTAGCTGTTTCCAGAGTTGGATGGTCCTATTTACAAAGGAATATTTTCCGATATCTGTTCTTTGCGTTCTGTTCCTAATTTTCCGAATATGATCGACCCTGCTCAGATAATATGGCCTTTGCAATCTGTCACCTATAGCTTTCCATGCCCGTTCTCCCGTGTACGCTTTGAAGAGAGCACATACACGTGCTATCTTTCTACGCTGAGCCGGGGTTTCCCAGTTCGAATCGCTCCTATGATATGCAAATCTACATGCTTTCTTTTGCACCCGTTCTAACGCATTTATCTGTCTCTCCCTGCCAGTAGGTGGCTCTGTCAACAACAGTGGTAGTACATCTACCTAATTCTGCTGGTAGATAACTGGGCCAACAATAAAAACATTAGCCTACATAATCGCTGGAAATAGAATATAACATTGATGCTGCTTCAACCGAATTTTGTAGCTGCATACCTCAGTCCTTGTGAAAGTTCATCCTATCCCATAAGGTACTAAATGTGGTCACACCCAGTTGTGAATGGATGCTGGGACTGACAATATTCAGCATGTTATAAAGCAGGATGCAGTTTAACAAGGACTGAGAAATGTATCTACAATATTTGATCACCACCAATGCATAAATATCAGTTTTATTGCAAAATGTCACATATTCTTATTCACTGTGACCCAAGGCACAAAATTCTGTACGATAACCTCTAGCCTAAATATTGTCACTACCCTTGCTGCAGTCGTCAATACTTTTCCTAAAAATCAGTGCAACAACAAAAAATTTAAATTAAAACACAAATACCTGAGAACGGCACATCTCGGAGTAGCGTGGAACTCAGACCCTTAAACAGGCCGCGTACGCCATGGTAGTGAAGCATCGTCTTCAATGCCTGACACATCTCTGAAAAAGGAAATATGGGTTATTGATAACAAAACCTACAGGTCTTATGGAACAGGGGTAGAAACTGTAATGACCATACTACCTAAGCATGTTACATGGTTCACATGTGAATATTCTTGTAATATTAAAAAATGTTACAGCAATGAATGAAACATAAGTGTTACCTCTGCATGCCTGAAGACTATGTTAAACACTCTTAGAAACATGAATTTTATTCCACGCATATTAACACAGCACTGCTTAAAATAAAATGCTCAGAAATGCACATACCAAGGTGTCAACTTCAAAAATTATAAGGCCTGTAGACATAAACTATTAATAAGAAATAATGCTAAAATATATGATGACCTTAAACTAAAGATATATTCCACCATTCAAAATTTCTCTTTAATAATATGTTTATTCTAGGCAACATGTTTCGGTCCTGTTAGGACCAACTTTGGGCCTTATAAGTATAATGTCTACAGCTGGATTTGTATTCATAATTATTACATATCAAGTATTGCTAATACATCTATGTTTGGTGATATAAATTAAAATTTTTAATGTTATAAGTGCAAATATAAAATAAAAATTAACTGTACTAATAAAATCTTGATGTAAGCATGTGGCAACATTAAACTGTTTTCTGGAACAAAAGTCTGTGCCAAATTTCAAATTTTCCCTGATATCTCACCACTATAATTAAAACTTATTATCTCTGAAACCACACTGTTCTTCCATTCCCTATCTGTCTTCTAAGTTTAACATAATCTTCTGGTAATGAATGTAAACTGTTCACAAAACTTTGCGGCTCTGAGTACAATCAATTATCTATCTTAATGGCTTACCTTGGTAGCTAACTTTTTTGGACTGCATTTTTGTACGTATCAGCTCAAGGGGGCTAACCAACGTTACAGACCAAACTCTCGCTGTTGCTCCAGCTACAAGGGGACCCCAGTGTGGTTGTATTCCATTATGTCTGTCCTTGATGAGGAGACGAAGATTTTCATATGTTACAAAGTACACAACTGTGGCAGGAACAGCTAACACAAGTGTAGGGCTCAGACCACTCCATAGGGACAGAGATCCCTCATTACGAGCTATCTTTACAAATGCATCCTGTAATTAGAGAAAATAACTCTTCACCTCTTTGGACTAGAAAGGAATCAAGCCAGGGTTAAAGGGCTATGACTAATGTTCCAACATAAGACACAAAGACATGCGGCAAATTATCAACCTACAAGTATCACCTGTCTACCCGATCAAGCAAATCTTATGGTACACAGAGCTCCTAATAAACAGGGCCCAAAATATTCTGAATGGTGAATAGAATTTATTGACAGTCCATAAATCCTTCATAGGCCTAAGCCAAGGATGTAGAATATATCATAATACAAATAAAATACAATAGATTAAATACAAAGTTTTTAACAGCTAATTACAGACATATCTGATATAATACACTATTGTAATAAAGTAATTACATCAAGCAATCATTACCATCATTAAATGTATTTATAATAACTGATAATTATTGTTTAAAGAACATTCTTCTACTATGTAGAAAATACTAAGATAAGAGATACTCTTTAGTGCTGGATTAAAGTACTTTTATGTAATGATTTAAACTTTTTATGGTAGGAGAAAGATTACTGAATAATTTAATTCCAATGTAATAAAGTCCTTTTTGATATTTGCTGAGGTAAGTGTAAGCAGAAGAGCTATTCCTGTATGATCACTCTTTTAAACTAAACTTAAATTTATAAAGATTATGCTAACTGCAGCTGGCTTCTGTGCACTGCAAAACTACAGCTAGAGCTGAACTATATAAACAATATAAGTTAGGAATTTTACTTACAATGGTGCCAGTGAAGTGACTTCTGCGGTGATACCACAACTGTGATGTCTGAGAAGAAGGCTGGCCTGGCCCATTCGGATTAATACATGGACACAGATGGTCCATGAGTCCATTGCAGTACAAGAAACATTTGTTAGAAAGAAGTTTCTTTTGTTGAGTCTGAAGGCGAATTTTTACCACATCAAACGGCGTCACTGAAAACAAACGTGCTCAATTTCATCAATAAAATTTTTAAATTACTTTCTGCATTCTACCATTTTCAGGCATCATGAAAAGCAGTGATGTTATACTTCACTGAGAATACTTACTCAAAAATGAGGTTATTAGAGCCCCAGAACACGCTGCTGCCATTTGTTGGGCCATAGAAATTCGAAATCGTGGGTCGTCCAAGATTTGGCATTCTCGCTCGTATTTTTGCATAACGGTTAAGATAAGAACTACCGGTTACAAAGAGATGACTTATAATTAAGTAAACGTCCACACGTTTTCACAAATAATCACAACAAAGTTTGAAAAGTATTACATAATGGGAATAAGCAACATTATCAAACCTACTAACCTCCATATTTACAACAAAGTGGTCACCACAGCTAATACCAACATTACCACCGATAAAAGAATTATAGATACCAATGTCATACATTATATTAATGTTATTAATTATATTAAAATCATATCGAGATTATTCAAGGAAAACTGTATGGTCATTACATTCAAAGTTGTACTTAATACTGTTAACGTCATCATCATAAGCTATTCGAAACATCTACAGTATCCGAATAAAATGTGCAAAGATACAACGCACGGAACAGCATTCCTTTAACACAAGCAAATGGCGTACTCTTGTGAACACATAATAGACTTTCGTGGCTATTTGCGGATTTTTAGATCTACAGGTGCAAATGCATTTCGTGCTACTCTACCCTTCTAGGACTGGTAATGGAATGGTTGTGGCACTTGTGATAACTGTAGCTCAGCCGGTATCTACTGAAAATGAACTTTTTTCAGGCAACCAGTGAAATTCAATTGGTCTCTTCTCTGGCTACCTTGCCTTTTTGTGTTATATCATCCTGATACAGATAACCTTCACCATGGGTAAACTAACAGGAGGAAGATAGTATGAGCACTGTCATTCCCACTATCAATGGCATTTCTGAGGCATGTGTACAACAGTCAGGAAACAAATTCCCAACTGTTCATTACACTTAACTTCACCACTGGACCATATCCTAAACCCAGTAATCCAGTCCACACATTCATGACTTGTTTCTTTGAAGATCCACTTCAATACTGGCTTTTCATTTACACTATGTTTTGTAGGTTTGTTACCTACGGTCCCAAAGGTTCATGATTATTCTAATGACCCTGTTACTCTTCCCTACCCTGAGACAGCCCAATTATGTTTACTTTTACATCTAATATGAACTATGCTCAGAGTCCACACCACTTCAATGTGTAATAAGCTGCCTTTTAAACACAGACATCTCTCCTCTGTTACACCATTTTCTTTACAAAACATTCTGTAGAATCCAATAACGAGGTTAGTTACGGAGTATCCCTTGAAGTCTTCATTTGTATAGCAATGCAACAAAAATTTCAGAGAAGTCAGCTACATTTTATAGCAAGTACACATCCATGCTCCAGTGTGGTTAATTAATGTTAGGTTATGTAGCACCATTCGAGTTGGAAAATTGATGGTAATAAACAAGAAGGTAAGGATTCTAAAGGAAGAGGTCATGACCTCCCCAAGGTACTTCAATAACTGCATGGAGAGATTGTGAAACAATGAGAAACTTCATTTTGGATGACTTGAATTTTGTGTACTAAGCTATACCTAGAGATGGAGGAAGCCTGTTCATCTGAAATGTTGATAACCAAACCACATGACCACATAGTGTCACACCCCAGAAAATCAAAGTCTGTGCAATGGGTACCCTCCAAACATTTTTGCATCCACGTATCACACAGCGCTGTTGAGCTTTGCCCTCAAATTAAATTACTGCAAACATGTATGTATTGCCATCCACTTAAACTTGGCCTTTGAAAAATGTAAATTAATTTCAATGTTCTTTGAATGTTTGTTTATATATATTTACACACATTCAGTCCTATTGTTACATGTCTGTTAGAAACATGATGTATAAAACACATTAACAAGAATATATGTAACATTAAATTAATCTACATACACTATGAGTATTTACAAGTTCATAAGTTTCTTTGCTTTGGAAACCGATGAGCAACTGAACGCTGCACAACTGACTATATCACTGGAAAAATTATTTTCACCCAGCATAATATTTCTACATCACATACTATATTACCCCATCTACCATAAAGATATCACAAACTTTCTTGGCACACAAACAGGTATTTATGCGGTAGCAGCTAGGAGTAATGTATACAACACAATGCAATGTTTGACAAAATATCTGCCTTTCATTCACTTTAGTTAGTTATAAACAAAAGAAAAATAATACTAGTGTCAATACAGAAATATGCTTTCATTAAACCTACCTTCATCATTGCCTGTGTAGATGACATGAGAGAGAATAAATATCAAAATATGCAAGAGTAAATATCAGAATTAAAATGAAGCCAAGCCAAGATAGAGCAGACAACTGTAATGACTAGGGTTCAGATGTTCATGACATGTCATATTTTTATTGGGGCTTCTATTTTCATTCTAAACTGAAATTAAACACTAATTGGGTTATTTTAATCACAATTAGACTGTATTAATTTTGCATATAAATGCATATTTAGGTCATTCTTTTTGGTAATATTTGTAGTTAAATGCATATTTTGAGGATAAAATGCATATTTTGGTTATATTTTGAGGATAAAATTCATATTTTGGGTATAAAATTCTTACTTGTAACTACATTTCTCAGGCATTTACAGTGAATCCTTCAGTTAGTTAAGATGCCGAAAGTGAAGTGTTCTGAAAGTGCGAAGTTAAGGGGTTCTGTTAAAGATTTTTGTGAGGAGTATTTTATTTCTGATGGAATAATTCTGTTCTATAAACTTTGTGAAGTTAAAGTTACAGCTGGTAAGGGATTTAATGTGCAACCACACTGTGATACGGCAAAACATAAAAATAATTTGAGCCAACAAACAAGTCATCAAAGCGATCAACGACTTCTGTTCGATATCACTGCAACACCTTCACCATCAAACAAGACATCAGAGTTTTCAAATGACCTGTGTGAAATGATGGCGTCTGCCAACTGAACAAAGTGAACAATGAGCAGTTCAAATTTTTCTTGGAGAAATAAACGACTCAGTTAATTCCAGATGGATTAACACTACGAAAAAATGAAGATGTTCCGTAAAGAATAACATGAACTGTGGGCGACAATAAGATTTGGGCTTCAGTTGATGAAACAACGGATGTCTGCGGCAGATATGTAGCGAATGTCGTTATTGGCATGCTCTTTGCTGACCATCCTGGTGTCATATTCCTTCTTCATACAGTAAACCACTCCTCTACCGCTGTACTTTTCGATAATGCCATGAAACGTTTGTGATGTCGAAAGGAGCTTCTCACCGTATTGTGCGACAATCTAAGAACATTTTCATTTGAGACCTGGAAAATGCACATCGTTATATATTGTAATGCTGCCAAGAAAGGAGAATGAAGAAATATACGTGATGTTTATAATTTTGTTTTTATTTATTTATATGTAATTAATGAGTTTGATATGCATGAAAGGCTCTTCTTTCAAATTTATCTTCTTTTATAGGAGCACATATTATCAACATTTGATGCTGATCTAAAACGAGGCATTTACAACTTAAAGCGATTGAGATTTTTGATTAAAATTGCTAGGAAATCAAGTAATGTAATAGTTGTACATGCATATGTAAATAAATAACATGACTGAAATACAAAACGATTTTTTTTAAATTCTGGCGAATATTTTTTCATAACAAATTAGGTCATATTTTGCCATTTTTGGGTCATATTTAGCTATTTTTGGGGGCATATTTGCATGCATATTTCTCGGTTTTTTAGGTCATGAACATGCGAACCCTACTTATTACCATGATAAATCATTCAGGACAGCCAATAATCTGAATCAACATCAAGGTATACATAATGGGGAGTGTCCATATTCCAGCAATGGGTGTTATAAATCATTCAGTAAACAGAATAACTTGAAGAAGTGATACGTACATAATGGAGAGCGTCCATATACCTGTGATTTATTAAATGTATATCACAAGTATACAGATTCCCCCCACCATGGCACGCCTTATGTATCTGTAAGACCAAGAGAAAAGTACGTGAGTTGTGACAAACATTTTACTAGATCCACATGCGATGAATTTCGCGAACAGATATTGAAGGAATCCAGTTCTCTACACATTAGTTTTAATTTTAAAAAGAAAATGAGACATAATTACAGCATCATGAACAGCGAACCAGTGTCAGTCCCAACACTTGACACTCAGAGCGTTTCAGAAGTTAATTTATCTACGTTTCAATCTTTTATTTATGGGTGCGGAAGCCATTATTAGCCGAATGTCTTTCAGCCGGCAGTGCTCAGGAATGGTGGAGCGTGGCAAGCGTTCCCGGATCGTATCCATGGTAACTGTGATCGTACGTCGCGGGGTGGAGCCGTTTTTTGGTCATATTTATCTATTTTTGGGGCATATTTCTTGGTTTTTTAGGTCATGAACATCCGGACCCTAGTAATGACAGTAATAAAGAATCTTCAGTTAGCAGTGACAATATTAATAGTGAGGCTGTGTCCGTACCAAGCCAATTGACTTGGCAACCACATGGCAGAAATAAATCCAGTTTATGTCTAAATAATCATGACAACACTAGAGATGGTACTAAATATTCTCTGGACAGTCTTCTACACTTGCACTACAGTGTTCGTAACCATGTTAGCCAGGCCAACAGTATGTTGATTCGTTTTGGAGCTAAAGAAGTGAGCAAACGCAAGAGATAGGGCAGGCAAGCAGGGTAGCTGTTCCTCAGTGTCTTAAAACAGAAATGAGTCCACGTGATAGAGTCTCGGTTTATTACGAACTGAACACCAGAAGTTCTGGAATCAGTTCACAAAATTAATTCTCCTCCCATGACTAGCAAAACCATGCTCCTTTATACATCACATAAATTATACATATTATACATTAGACTTCATGCTTATGAAAGTGATATTTTAACCACTGGCAGGGCAAGGGGTCCTGGTCTGCACAGTCTGTAATATCCAGCGGCAGTAGTAAATTGGAGACTGTCGTATAATCTGTTGCTAGTAGAATCAAAGAATATTTCTTTTATGCAGTGACTTTGGGGCACTGCATTGGCCAATGGTCAGCCTTCAGGGTGACATGTGAGTGCATCAGGTATAACAATGTTTGGAGACCCAAATTTATATGCTGCACCCCAGAAACATTGCTACACCACAATAATTCCAAAGACAAAGGAACTACGGTAAAAATGTAATGGCCACTTTCCAGAATATAACAGACTAATGGATATTTAATGAGGGATGGTTCTCACAATGCCTCAGATTCTATAAGAAATTAAATCAAATGTTGAAGGCGTGACCAGAATTGGGAGTGAACAGGAGGCGAGCAAGTGACTGTCTTCGTTCCATGAACGCCACCAGCCTGGATGATGGGATGGAACACGTTTTCTGCACCTGAAAAGAATAATGAGAATAAAATGCATGCACTAACTGTAGTACTGTCTGTTTAACACAAAACTTCATATTTTATACTTTTCAGTAACATAGCTTTTCTCCTGAGAAATTCTCATAAGGAGAGTAACAAAATACACAAGCAGTTGTAGGCACACTAACCCCTTCCTCTGTATGAGCCCCATTCAAGACGCTAATTTTCACTTTAACATATACTGACATATTTAAAATTTTTGGTTCATTATAATAAAAAATACAGTGACAGGGTTGTTGCACCTAGTAATATTTTGGCAGTGTGTACACAGCCGCAATGTTGCATGGAGCAACAACCCAGACCATCACGTCTTTTTCACATCACCAAGAAAATGTCAAATCCCCTACACATTAGTACCATGTATTTTAAAATTTGTGTTATTGTACAGGTCAAACCACTGTTAATTATTTGTTTTAAACAAAATGTAAACTCAATTCTGCTAAACACATTTTTTCTCAACAAGCTACTTTCAAGGAATGTTTTCATAAAATAATAATCTAATATATTGGTTTAAACACAGTGTCTTACATTTTCAAACCAAGGTGAATCTAGACACGCCTGAGCTGTCATTCGCTGAGAGGATGTGGCTACTAACAGTCCACTAATCAAGTCCTTGCCTTCATTTGAAATGTCGGTGAAGTATTCATCAGGAAAGCAGAAATCACACTTGAGTATATTTGCTGTAGTCTCTTCTAGAGAGTCATCCAAGAAAGGTGACACACCACTGTAGCGATAATAAACACACAACAAACACTAAAAGATGGTGCACAAACACAACTTTCTTATAAACAAAATTTGCATTCTTAAAGATCCAGTAAGGTAAAGGTGTCCATGATACTCGTTAAGCACCACACTATGAAGATATGTTGGGGAGTGGAGGGAAAGATCCACATATTCTTGATCTTAATGCTATATCAAAGTGGGTGGTCAGCATCACACTTGGTACAGCAATGGTATGTAACAGAAAAAAAACATTTTTTCCCTTCCAGGTATCAAACCCAGTCATCTGCCCCATAGCTGTCACTATACTAACTGAGCTACCCAGATATACCCCAGCTGCACCTTAGTTTAATGGGATGGAAATTTGGATAAAACGCGCAGAATGTAAATACAGCAACCAGCATGTGATCTATTTATTTTACTTATTCACAGTTTATTTAATGGCACTTTAAGTATCTAGACTAAATACTGTCACATGAGATGATGACAGTAATGAACTGGAAACGATGTATAAGGAAAGCCATGGCCTAATTTAAGGCAATATCCTGGCATTTGCCGGAGGACTGAAAACAAAAATGCCACAAAAATCCTCAGTCAGGATAGCTGGTCTGCATGTCAAGATTTGAAGCCAGGACCTCCTGAATACAAAGCAGGTGAACTAGGACGTTTGGTGGCATGACGATAGTTACACAAGAATATATTGCACAGACCCACCTGAGGAAGGCATACAGGAACACTCCCACACTCCACATGTCTGTCTGACAGCCAAGAGGCTGCCCAAGTACCATCTCAGGAGCAGCAAACTCAAGATTTGAGGGTGGAAGGACTTCCAAATTCCTGATTACATTCACAGCATCCCCCAAATCAACCAATTTGAGCACAGAACTGCTACCTGATAAATCGACCATAACATTTTCTGGCTGAAAAAGAGGAACAACCAGACCGATCACAAACTTATATTACATTTGATATTATACATTGTGTGTGGTATAATTGAAACATTAAAAGTTTTGATTCCTGGTATACTCCACCTTCAAGTACTGGCTGTCATTATAATAATGGCAGATTCTTCATTACTTTTTTATATTTAATAAATAGTAATCTTCATACTAGTCATCCTAACATTACAAAGTAATAAACATTTTCATGGGCAGTACGCTACCAGATGTCACTAGAGTGCTTCTACACACTTCCAAAATATTCTACATGCCTGGTCACATAACAACATTCTCCTTCTTCTACCAGAAATGTACTAAGCTCAGTATTGTGAGCACTGAACAAGTTCTCTCAAGTTAAAATATACTCAGATGATAAAATATTGTTCTTCCTCAAAACATTCACTGCCAACAGAAGCTACTCGTAAGGAATGGAAAGTCCTCAGTGCCACAAGAGCTTGGAATGTCTTAGCTCAGATGCTGAAATATTTCATTTGTTCTTTAACAGATATCATCCAATTGAAATTATTATTGAAAGTCAACATACACACAACAGAAGTGTTTATTTTACCAATTGAGAATGTCTCTCTGCCCTAGCTGCTTGGCTCAATGGCAGCGAATGTGTTAATCTAATGTACACAAACATTTCTTAGGACATACAAATATTTTGCACTTAGAATCTGAATATAGGCCCTGTGGACCAATGAACACCATTTTTTACCTTTACATCAAGATGTGCTACACCCTGGCAGTGCAAATAATCCAGTGCTGATATCAACTGACGTACATACTGGGAAACTGTTGCTTCCCTGTATTCTTCATGCTGCTTGCATATGAATGAAAACAGTAATGGCCCATTTACACTGCAATAAAACATACCATTCTAGAGAGAGAAGTTTGTACAAACATGCTGAACAAACAAAAGGTCACTTTGTTCTAAAAACACAAAATTAAATTAAATTTTTTAGACAGCAATTCCAGTTTCATTTGTTTGTAGGTGGGTTCACATTCCTCGGGTAGCACGCCTATTAAAATCACTGTCTGTCCAACCGTATGTACGAAACAACTCAAGAATGACTTAACATCTTCATGAAATCTAATATTGTTGAGTTTCACTAACATATGTCAAGATACATCCATCACAATGCAAGTTGGTATTGGAAGGAATAAAGGCTTTACGGTATATTATTTAAATAAAAACTTACAGTTCCATGACAATGGTGTCGACACCCAGCTGTGGAGCATTGCTGAATAGCGCAAGAGCCCTCACAATATTGCTGTGTTGCAGCCGTGCCATCAGAGTGTATTCTGCCTGCGTTACATCACGTGACTGTCTTTTGCACACAATTTGCTTCACGGCTACTTCTTGGGCAGTTCCTCTGTCTCGAGCACGCCTCACAACCGAGAACCGACCGCGGCCCAACTCATCCAACTCCATATATCGCCGGTGAAACTGTTCCTGCTGCCAAGTGCTGCAACTTGTTCTTGACTGAACAATTACAGGTGTGGATGGAGGCCCTGAATTCACTCTAAAACTATATTTTACACCACAGTCCAATCCATCCACAACATTGGATAAGCCTTGAATTGGTCCTTCCCCTACAGTCACCCACATGCCAGAGTCATTTCGACAGCATTCCAGAATGTGATGCGTGCCAGGTATTCCGCCCCACTGCACAAGCACACTTGATCCAGAGAGCAGTTGTACTGAAGGAGCACTATTCTGATTATATGATGAACCTGGAACAATCATCTCAGCAGAATAGTGCAAACAGCCATAAACCAAAATCTTAACAAAAGTTTTCTTAAACTGCAGTTTGTACCTCAATGCTAGTACAGTCCCCGGATTTTCATTATTCATGCTGTATAACCTGACAAGTTCAGTGAAGTTATCGTGGACTTACACTCTACCTGGTAATATAAAAAACTGTTTTTGTGCACACTATAAACTGTAGTAATAGATTACATTCTTTTGTGGATCTTACTGACCATTCATAAAAGTAAAAAAGTAAAGTTTGTCCCGCTACGTGCCGTACAGGCGCTTGGGGTGAGTGGAGGTATAGCTCCTCTCTTTCTTGATGTCGGTACTAGATGGGGGTGAGTGGTCAGCATCACGCCCCGACCGCGCTTTACCCACGGGAAAGGTTCCCGATACCCATTGGACAGGAAGGTGGGTGGGCCCCAGAGCCGGTCTGGACGCAAAGGCTAGAGGAAAAATTCTCTGCCCTTGTCAGGGATCGAACCCCGGCCGTCCAGCCCGTAGCTAGTCACTATACTGACTGAGCTATCCCGGCTCATACTGACAATTCATACTTTTTTAAAATTATGGTAAAATCACAAGCGGTCACCAGAAGACAGGAGAAGAACCAGTTATTTTAACATTGTGTATATTAAATACAACTCAGACAATGGAGAATATCAAATACAATTACGGTAAAACAAATTAAACATTTTCAGGAAATTATAAAAATTTGTGTAGCGTATAACAAACCTGTTATACAGAGCCATGCAGAAGTCACACTGCTGCCTGCATCATTTGAGGCTACACACGAGTATTCCCCAGCATCCGTTAGTTGGCAGTTTTCAATAACAAGACTCATAAAACCATCATCCAGCATACTGATCGAGTGCCTTCCACCATTTCGTATCACAGCTGTTTCTCCGGTTTCAGTCGTACACTTGTTCCACGTTACATTTACGTCCCCCACTTCACACTGAGAACTGCATTGAAGTCTGCACTTCAGTTCCACTTTGCCACCATGTGGGACACACACATCACACAGCCTGTCCTGAAATTCTGGAGGTGGGGCAGCACACTCTGGTATTAGTGACTTGTTCCCCCTGCTACTCATAGACAACAAAGGTGAGCCCATAACGCCATCAAACGATCGCCTTTCGCCTCTCTGTCCTCCACCACTAAAGTTTGGTTTGCGAAACCGGAATGACCACGGTTTACGAGGTAAAGTCACGTCACTACCCGTTTGGTGATGGTGGTGATGAGATAAAATGTGAGCTGGTAACCAACCCTCCTCTCCATCCCCCACTCGACGTACCAGGTAACCCCGCACAGGGGAGAATGTTATTATTTGAACTGTCTCACCCCTACTTGCTGCCAGTTCATCACCCTCAATTGCATGGAAGTCTGCTGCTACTTTCACCACAGAACCTGAGGACATCATGGGTAGTGCCAAGGACTCAACCTGCAAATCAGAAATACTGATTAGCAAAAAATGCCACGACAATCAAGTGCCTTCCCATTTTCTGGTGCATGCAGACATTTACATAAATAGTATCTGACATTTCAATTCCATTCTAATCACTAATCACTTTGGTACATACCTGTAATGTATTTTAAATCAAAACTGTACCAACACTATTTTCAGTCTACAGTAAGGTAGAATTCACTGCTGAAAGTGTAAACTATGGTAAAGTGAGATTATATAGTATTAGTAAGCATTTCTTGCACGAAATATATGAAGTAGCTAAAACAGGTTTATAACATACATGAATCTCAAAACCAGATTTCATCTGCAACTTGGATCTTTTTTAACACTGATGTGGCATGCAAATGAAACAGCTTTCCTAAAAATTAACTTGCTGATGTTCCACACAAATACAGGAGATTATACCATTCCAAAGTCCATCAATGCTTCTAGCAATAAAAGAGTTGACCCCAAATTTAACAAAACTATATACGTCTTCCCACTCAATGATAACTTCACTGGTTTCTCTGTTCATGCAGCGATGATTTTCATGAGTATTTGCTACGATATGTCTGGTCAGCCTTGTTGGACTCAGACACAGTGGCTAGTGGCTCGGACATAACATAACCAACCACTTACTTTCTTCTTTTCCTATCATCATTTCAGAGATATATATATGTCGTTGCCATTACCTATTAATTACATCGACCTCCTGAAGATGACACTTGAAATGTTTTCTGAAACATTCGAAGGATCTAAATAAATAGCACGGTTGAAACTCGGAAGCTGATCTTACCCAGACACACGGGAGAAAGAAAGAGACAAAGAGATAAGACTGTAAAGGCAGTAAGAGCCTTCTGTCACTTGTTGATTCCTATTAAAATTTATTCATTTTAAAAATTCTATCACAGAAGAAGCCATATTGGAAGGAGCTATTCCATGTATTGTAAATATTATATTTTGGTAATGTAACTCCATAATCCAAGAATAAATGCAATGTAATTTAGGCTCTGAATATTTCATATTCAATTTGTATGAATGCTTACAATCTACCTTCTTAAGTTTACTCCTAGCGAACACTGTCTGTTAGTTACTGCTGTCATATTTAATGCTAAATAAAAACTGTTGGAAGATCACCATGTTGTTTTATATTCTACGATGATATTACCTAGACATAAGTTGTACATTTTTGACTATTTTCATAGATGATTTCAAGACACTGTACTAAGAGGCACAAGACTTTCACCAACCTCATAAGTTTGTTCATGTTGTTACGTGATATTGCTTATTCACTAAACCTTCCCATTAATGCAACACTTAATTTGTTTAGTACTAACAATAAATGAGAAAGTTCTTCAAATCAAACTACTTTAGATAGGATTCCAGTGAATTAAACGCACCATCCTCCCCTTTGTTAGAAATGAAATGCAGTGATTACTAATGCAATTACAAGGGTAAGTAAAACAAACACTTTGCATCTTACCAGCATTCCACCAGGAGCATACAAGCACCACCAACCCACGAAATGTTGCAAATCTTCTGACCAACACAGTTGAGGATCTAATCCACCCTGCTGTCAGTAAGAAGCAAAACTGTATTCATGGGTTTAAAACCACATGTGGGCAAAGTAACGAACCATCTACCGTCATTTCACAGAACGTTGCATGGCATCAGACGCCTCTTGTTAGTTTAAGTCAGAAAGAACAACCAAAACTGAGTACAGACATTAAATGTTTGTGTTTGAATGTTTTAGCCGAAGGCAGCACACCGTAAGAAACCAAAGCATCGTCACAAACTGCATTACCAGGCACAAAATAAAGAGTTCCAGAAAATGTCATCCGCATGCTCAGCCGTTAGATAATACACATTAACAGAAAAGAATAATTAAGTGGTTAAGTATAGTTCATGGATAGAAGCTCCCGAGATTGATTAGTTTAGACGGAATGTGGTTCCGCCATACATATCATGGATCACGTACTGTTGCTGACATCTTACCAGGTGGGGTGAGCCAGTTTCTGACCACCTCCGCATGAAATTCTTATTATCTTCACTGCTGGAACCATTGGATCTGCAGTTCCAATCACATTCATTTCCACCGCACGCCGGCACTTCATTTTTAGCCTTTGATCGCAATGTATTTCTAAACCCCTCGAAAAGGTTCAATCTGTGTTTTGTGGGGCTGTGCATCTGAGCATTTGCACCCATGACGTTAGGCTCTGGAGACCTGTCACCAGCATCGCAATGGTTGTGCTGTATCGGTGTGACTGAACGGAGAGCGTCAGGAAGTGCAGATATTGTCGAAGTAGTAGTGATGCTAGGGCAAGGAATGGTACTAGCTTTGTGCAATCGCCCATTCACTCTGCCAACGTCTGCTGAAGAATCGTGCTCAGTCTGGGGAGCTGGTTGTGACATGGTCTTCCGGAGCAAGGGATTCCACACTGTACTGAGCTCGGGGGTTGAGCTGAGATAGAAATGAATGCATCAGAAAAAAAAAAAAATTAAAACAAACAATAAAGAAGCAACATGCAACACACTGACCCGACTACCATATGAACACAAATGAAGTAGATGAGGCTTGGCTGAACATAGATTTGAAGCAGGCTAATCAAATTATAAAGCACACATACAGACTGCAAAAAATAAATGTGTATACAAATACAGATTAGAACAAAGTAGTACATAAAAAGAGCAGAAGAAATAAATTATGTACAAAATGCATCGAATCTTGGTGGGATGCTAGTAATATGTTATAAGTACCTACTGCTTCGTAATGCCAAGTCTACTAGTGCTGAAATGTGAGGAGCTACAGGACAGCCCCCTACCAGGAAATGAAGGATGTAATTTTATATGACGGGAAAACTTTCATTATTCCAGTGTTTTTCATTCTATTTAAAATGTTTTGTATTTATTATGTACAAACATACATTTTTATGTACATCATAATTTTCTCACTGTCTTTTTATTCCAAGTAAGGGGGAGTTAGGGAAATGGTGTAAGGAGCAGATTACTGGCTTTTATTATTTTTTTAATCCCACCTGAACTTGTTTGGTCCAGAACAGAAAATATTGACAAAACAGTTTTTGTTGGTGGCTTATTGGCAATGCAACAATCAAATAATGGTGCTTTAATATATTACAAGCATTCTTATTTTAATGATGTTCTTTTGCTCTTTCGTACTGATGGACTGGATTCAGAAAAGAGTAACAGTATTTATTATGCTAATGATCTTCAAGAGAGAGCTTTTAAGTAAAAATTAGATTCATACCCGTGATATTTGTTTTATCTCCAAGGGCACAGCTGAGATATGTCACAGCCCTGTCCGACAACAGTTTCCTGCAAGGCCATACTACCACCACTATCACAACAGGACAAGAATTTCTGGATCCTTGCATTCACACAGAATTACCACTCACATCTTTTCCCTTGCCTTCCAGTAGAAAAAGAACCACATGGAAGTAAAATCTACAATAATACAATTTTTTGTATTTTAAAATGTTCCAGGTGCTTATTGTCTTATGTTGGCCGCTAGGGTGTCACTAGAATGGCAGTTCTACAAAAAAAAAATCCTCGTTCTTGTTTTCCGTAAGTTGTATTTTCTGCCTTCCAGCAAGTAATAACGCTGTACTCGGCATTTTTCTTTCGAGAACTGCCTTGCTCACGGCCAAACAAGTGACACAGAAACAAGATTGCCACTAAATCATACACAGCTGAGGAAATGTATATAAAATACAAATATTTAATCAAAATGGCAGGAGTGTGCTTGAAAGGATGCAAGTACCATTAACATATAAGAACTATTTCTTCTTACACCGTTAATTCATTTAGAGCAACCAAGCTTTCAGGAGGACCTGCATTTTGTCTAATTCATTGTATAATGAATAATAACACTGATCCAGACACACAGAGCACATATTTATCAAGCACACAAAGACCCCTTCATACCCTATCAGTAATGAACAGTTCAGTACCTGCACATTACAGAAGTGATTAAAAATTCAAAGAGGCTTCATAATGATTCTCATGGGAAAATCCATGCATTCTCTGCAAGTAATTCCATATGATCATAATACATTACTTTTTCTTAAGCAGAATAAAATTTGGAGGAAGTCAGAGCACTCTAGTTGAAATAAAAGTTAGTTTCTGATAAAAAATAAATCACAAAATAGAGCTTGAAGTATCACAAAATTGTAACTCATATATTTCCATTGATAAAAATAGCTCAAGTCAAAAGTTGGTGTGTCGGTAACACTAAAATTGAGCAGTGAGAAAGCCTTGATCCATGAAACCCCTGTCCCGAAACAATCCGTACGCACCGGTCACAATCGGACCAAAAGTTCGTAAGCTTGGTTCAAAAAGAAATCTCCGTAGGAAGTTGAAGCCTTTCACTAATGGCGAGGCCTGAAACACTGTACTTTATAAACTCCAGTTGCAGACTACAACCACCATCACCATCTCAGTCACTGTCACCATCTGCATCACCAGCACCACCGGCCACGTATCCTCGATACTTACAACTCTTTTGTGAGTTCTCCCTTCTGGTACGCAATAGGTGACTGGATAGCCTTCAGGAAGTCTTTTTGCTTCTGCAGAATTGATCTAATAGTGGACACCCACTCGTCACCATTTTCTTTGGACGACGGCTGACAGATATATCCAAGATTTGGCTTGCGTGGGTCCGTTGAGCGAATCACAAACTTGCATACATCACTATCATCAACAATCTCTTCCATGCTCATCTTGTTTGCCTAAATCCCAAAGAGAGAACTACTGACAATATTGAAAATGCAAGCAAACATAGGTTATGATAATAGTCCAAAGGTTATGTAAAAATGGCACAAGTAGCTAATATGTATTTTGATACGTCACTTCAATAAAGGCAGAAGCAATAATCAAGACTTCAAACATAACCTTACATTTTTTATAACATAATTTAAAAGTTTAATAAAGTGTGCCAACACTAGCGCAGAATATATAAAATGCAATAAATATTACAGAAATTAACACTTTTTTATTTCAGACAAATACATAAATTATTTTATACCTGCAATTTGCAAAATATTTTGACAAGAAAATTCTAAATTAAGAATACATCAACAGCTTCTCAGACCAACCTGAATATGAGCTTTGTGAATATAGACAGGGTTGGTAAACTGAGTCTTCTTTCCGACGGCCTCACTGAAGATAATGTTTTGCTCAAACAGGAAAACCTGAAACTCTTTGCCCTTAAAATTAGGGCCTGCTGATTCCTCACAGCAGATAAGTGGTCCATGAAGAAGCAAGTTCCCTTGTGCAGTTATCTTGCCCTAAAGATAATAATTGGATATTACTGACTAAAGAGAGTTATGATCACATGCAAACAATATTATCGTGCAGTAGCATTTGAGGTTTATACAGTGGTGAGTACAAGGATGGCTGTCTTCTGAACTGTAGTCTGATAGAAATTTACCAAAATTTCGGAGGTCCTTTCTGCCTATATGGTGCTACAACTGAGAAGACAGCCATCTTAATATTATTGTAAAGGCTAAGGGAAGTTTCTGGTTAATAAATGAATTGTGTTGTTTGCAAGCAAAGAAGCAGTTTTGGAAGCCCACGATATGGAGCATAAATAATCAGAGTTAATAACTCATCACTGATAATATGATGTATTAACTGATATAAGAAAGCAACGACAATTCGGTACAATAATGTTCATGCATCACTGAAATACAGAGTTCAGTCATGTTGGAAATAATGTTTGTATCAGTCTTTAATGAGAAAAGC